CGGGCAGTGGGGGGAAAAGAAAAATTCTGTTTTGGCAAGGGCAACCCCTATTGACGTGAATAGTGGCTGCCCTAGCTCTCCCCCTTGCCATGGCTAAGGGCAAATGGGTGGAGTTGCTCTAAGTGGAATATGGAAGTCCTTAACAAGTCGGACATAGAAAAGAATCAATATAAGCCAGTTCTGCACTCAGTTTCTGTCTAATCACCCTCCTTTTATTGGGGTTTTTGTTTTCGGCCAAATTGTATTGGGCTTTTTAGTACCATATGTATATATGTAAATTTTATTTTCGGGTTTGTGAAGATTTGTTCAAGTGCAAAAATCAAAAGACAAATTGGGCTCAATTTCTTTTGTCAACGTACGGTCCTAGTATTTGATGGCAAGAAGATCCGCCGAAAGCAACCACTCCTCCGCCCACTCAAAATTTTTATTTTATTTATTTTTTTAATTTTTTATAGGTTGTTTTTGGGTTGCCTGCTTTTCAACTTTTATTTATATACTTTGTTGGCATTTTCTTTTTTATCAACTCAGTGCAAATCTCTCACAACCACCATTCTGGCGGTCAAAAGAGGCGGGTTAAAAGGAAGATACCAAAATTGCAATATAAGGAAAGTGAAAATGAAAAGAAAAAGATAAGGGTTATGATATGCAGAAATACCAAAAGTTATCTTCGTAAACATTCCCTAAAATAATAATAAAAATTCAAATCAATACATTAATAAAAAATATATATAACAACGAATAACCCGTGTAGTTGTTCGGAGTAAATGTTTCTCTAGGAAATGTTCTAAGTTCGAGTCGTAGCATCCGTGTACTGTGTATGAATTTAGTATGCTATCACCATCCTCAATAGAAAAGGTCCTAATAATAATAATAATAATAATAATAATGTAATATTGTTGCAATGCTCCTCTTATAATACTGAGTCGATATTATGAAGTATTCGGCATAGTCGGGACCACAAATTGTTATAAAAAAAAATTAACAAATTAAAAATCCACCTAAAGTTTCCATGTGAGTAAGTTGCCTTGTGTCCAAGGAAGTCACTGTAGCCATATTTTAGAGTATAAGAACCCCCACCCGACGATCCAAGGCATTAAGACGCAAGCACTGACACATTTTGGGAGAGCAGAGAGAGTACTCTCAAAATGAAGTGCTTCAAAACAATGAGCTTCTTAGCATTTATGTCTATTTTTCTCTTACAGACTGAAGTGCTTCTATGCTTGGTCCAAGGAAATGTGCATTACCATGAATTCATTGTAAGTAGCACTCATTGCTTGGGTTTCACCTTCTTTTGTGATTTTAATTTCGACTTGCTTGCTTTGTGTAACGCATAGAATCCTGGCTCAGCTCCGTTTATTCCAGAATGTCAGCATTTAAAATGTCATGCATGATATAGTTGTTGAGTGAAAAAAAAAATGTTCATAGATTTACTTTTGTGGTTATATCTTGATTGCAGCTTAAAGACACCAATTTCACAAAGTTATGTAGCACGAAGAGTGCATTGACTGTGAATGAGAGTTTTCCGGGGCCGATCATCCGAGCTCAGAAGGGGGATACGGTGTACGTGAATGTTTATAATGAAGGAAGATATGGTGTCACTCTACATTGGTAAGAAGTACGGAATTATAATACTTTTATGACAGAGAGGGAAAAATGTAAATTTTGTTTTAAATTTATGCATGCTATTTTTATAGGCATGGAATAAAGCAACCAAGAAACCCGTGGTTCGATGGACCTGAGTATGTTACACAATGCCCTATTCAGCCAGGAACAAACTTCACCTACCAAATTTTACTTTCTTCAGAAGAAGGTACATTGTTTTGGCATGCCCACAGCGATTGGAGTAGGGCCACAGTGCATGGAGCCTTTGTCATCTTGCCAGCAAATGGTACCAGTTATCCATTTCCAAAGCCAGATGGAGAACAAGTTATTTTATTTGGTATGCTAAATGTTTTATTAGCTGCAACTCTTCCATGCAATTTTAAGCTCATAATATTATCTTGTTTAATTTGAACCTTATTACAAAAAGATTTGGTTTAGCAAATTAATAGTAATTTATCAAAATATTTGGTGGGTCCCAATTTTCATACTAAATTTTGGACCCTCAACAGAAAGTCAATCTTCCATGGGCTACTAGAATAAGGACACTGGCTAAATGCAAAATACATGACTGGTTGGTCTTTCAAAGTTTTGCTTTCCATAAAAAATAACACACCCAATCAAGTCGAATTTACTTTTCTTTTAAGCTTTGTGTGCATCTAGTTTGTTCTTGTAGGATAGCAAAGTGGTTACTTTATGTGCATCTTCCCATAACATTTTTTTATTAAAAAAAAACACTTGTGCGTCTTGCTTAGCTTTTTACCCCTCCTATTGTTCTCCTGCAGCATCATGGTATAAAGAGGATGTAATGACATTGTTGGATGAGACTCTCAAATCTGGTGGACTAACAACATCGTCAGATTCTTATACCATCAACGGCGAACCTGGAGACTTTTATTTATGCTCCAACGGTAAAAATTTATTAAACGATAAATAGACAATTTGTAATCATTATCATGCTCCTGTTTTTCCTTGTCTTGCCATGCAAATTGGGGATTTTATTATAAAACACATGACTTCATGTGCATTGCAGAAACAACATATCGAATGTTCGTTGATTATGGGAAGACCTATCTTCTCCGAATAGTGAATTCGGTACAAAATGTAGACATGTTCTTTGCCATTGCCGATCACAATCTCACAGTTGTAGGAGCGGATGGTGCCTATGTCAAACCTATAGTTACCTCCTACATAATGATCACCCCAGGACAAACAATGGATGTTTTACTCACAGCAAAGCAATCCCTTGGCCAGTACTATATGCTTGCAAGCCCTTACTATGATGGAGAGGCTGATGACTTTGACAAAAGCATGGCCAGTGCCATATTCCAATACAACGGCAACTACACTCCTCCATCATCACCCATCTATCCAACCTACATTCCTGGTTATTACGACATCGATTCTGCGAGAAAATTTGTCACACAATTCAGGAGTTTGGCATCTGCAGAGCATCCGGTTGACGTTCCTCTAAATGTCACCACCCGAATGTTTATAACCATTTCTATTGGCATGCTGCACTGTCCAAACAATTCATGTGCTGGGCCTGAAGGAAACAGGATTGCTTCTGGCTTGAACAACATCAGCTTTGCCAACCCTGCTGTTGATGTGTTGCAAGCATACTACAGGTATTACATTCGCCAATTAGTTTCATGTTGGATGCTCTAACTTTATCATGGTATCCGAGTAGGAGATTTGAAGTCTGAGGGAACTCTGCTATAATTTAAGACAATAGTTGCTTGATCCTGCATAATTTGTTTTTCTTGACAGGAACATAAGTGGATATTACGAAGCAAGTTTTCCAGACGAACCACCTAATCTATTCAACTTCACCGCAGAGGACTTGACAACAGACAATTACACCATAACCAGTCGGGCTACGAGGGTGAAGATGTTGGATTATAATGCCACAGTGGAGATAACATTCCAAGGGACTAATATCATGGATTCAGGAGAGAATCATCCAGTCCATTTGCATGGATTCAGATTTTATGTCATCGGATCTGGTTTAGGAAATTTCAACAACGTGACCGATCCATTAACTTACAACTTGGTTGATCCACCTGAAGTTAATACCTTCCCAGTCCCTAAGGACGGTTGGGCCACCATCAGATTCATAGCCAACAATCCAGGTACGTATGCTCATTAATTTGATCTTATGTATATATGATTAACATTATAATGGAACTTTTTCTACATCCCAAAAATGCTAAACGTAACATATACAGAGAAATTATTGTATGGTACTGAAATGCGATCATCTTGTATAACTTGTTCACCTGTTATAATATAGGTAGACTACGGAGTTAAAATTTCCATTTTTATGATATAGTATCAATAAATATCCGTATATACTATAACACATAGACAAGTTATACTAGTCTCTGAAATTAATGCAGACAGGCACCATAATGCATTACCGATATATTATTAATATTAATTATAAGAATTAATGTTAATCTGACTAATATAATCTTACTTTAATTACTATGAACAATTTTGGCAGGGGTTTGGTTCATGCACTGTCATTTTGATCGACATATGAGTTGGGGAATGGATACTGTTTTCATAGTTAAGAATGGAGGGACCGATGAAACAAGTATTCGTCCTCCACCAGATTACTTGCCGGCGTGTAGCAAAAATTCACTGTTTGGTGCCGATCCGTCGATGTTACAGATGGGAGAGTGATATCAAAGTTTATACGAAGATTCAAAAGACATTTGTTATTTTTGTATGCATTACAATTCTGAGCTTTTACGTTAGTCTTAATTCAGGACGCCACAGCTATATAGTATTTGAATTTTTCCTTATTCTTAATAGCACTACAGTATATTCCTATTTCGGATGTTCTAAATTTTTCCTTATTTGTAACATGTTACAAATTAATACAAATTAGTGCTATTGTTTCTATTTTGGCAAACATTAATGCATAATGGATCGGAACGTAGCTAACTGCGGTTTTCATTTCTCAAAGTAAGCGTTGGTTCAGCACGACTTGCATTATCTATTTTCACAAACATTAATGCATCATGAGTTGTGTTTGGGCCTAAATTCTGCGAGCCCAGCCTATTTAAAAGAAACTGAAGAGCAGCCCAAAATAGAGAAAGTCCAGATTAATTTCTCGAATTTTGCGAGCCCAGCCCAGAATTTATCAAGCCCATGATAAATGAACAGCCTTGAGCTTTGAAGAAAAAGCTGCCCAATCAACATTAGAGGCCCATGTCTTTTGCAGAAATGGAAGTTTAAAAAACACAAAAAAAAAGAGTAAATAAATCAATAAAATTGCCAATTAAATGGTAATTCATCACTAAGCAGCCCGAAAACCTCTAAGAGATTGGATTAAAGCTCAGCTTCTGAAGAATTCTCTCCAGTTGATCTCAAAAGCAAGTCAACAGATCTTTTCTTACTCAAAAATGTTTTCCCAGAAGAGCCCACGTGACTACTTGACTTTGAAAAGTCAAAAATTTCAACTATCACAGAGGAGTTCATAGAGAGTTAATGAAGACAAGTATAAAAGGAAGACTTCTCTAAATCTTTGCAGCCAAAAGATCAAAACCCCTTTTTATATATATAGAAAAACTCTGCACCAAAGCAGGTGATCTTTCCGAGAGATAAGCAGACTACGATCTCAAGAGATAAGTAGGAAGCAAGATAGTTGTTGAAACAGGAAAAGCAAACTGACCATTATGGCAGATTTTGCCCTTTCTCTTTACAAGGAACAAACAGAAACAAAGAAAGTTGGTCTTTCTTTCAAAAAAAAGCAAAGAAAAGACCACCATGGGAATTAATCGTTGATGGTTCTTCTCTGCCAGAACAGATAGCTTCCCCTTTTTTTTTGGCATTTAAAAAGAAAGATCTTTTTTGAAGGATTTGCCGCTCATTATTCAAAGATTAAAAAACCCCACTCCAGCATAAGAGAGAGGGTGAACAAATAGAGACAGCCAAAAAATCAATGAAGACAAAAAACTCTTAAAGTCACAATTGACAAACTCAAAAAGATCCAATGATCTCAAAAAGCCTTCAAGCATTGAAGCAACCAAAGCTTATTGAGCCACAAGAAACAAGTTAGCTAGAACTCAAATCTCTGTTTTTGGTTCAGGCATAGAGAAACAATTTTACAAAGCGAGATTTCTCTTGTTACAAATTTGGTTCAGCATGAAGCCAAGTCAAGCAGAGTTCAGGTTTTTACAAATATGAAAACCTCAGCAAATTTACATAAAGTTTTGGTCAAGCAAAACAGGCACCATAGCGCAGCTCCATCTCAGTGATCATCAATCCAACCACTTTTGCCCTCTCCAGACTGAAGAGGCCTTAATTCTGCTCGTTTAGCAAGCCTTCCATGGCCTGAAATAAATTGAAGCTCTGCCAAACTCAAATTCCAACTAAAATTCATCAGTTGAAGGTGTTGATGATCCAATTCAGCACAGACACATCCAATCTAGCCCGATTCAGAGGCAATTATCCAGTCAGAAATCGAAGTCCAACATCATGTTGTCTTGTTTCGGAGTCGCCATTTCATTTTTGAGTCATGTAATAGGCAATTCTGCCTAGAACAATTTACTTTCTTTTTGTCTATTCTGGCAAGAACTACCAATTTTGTACTTTGAAAAATTATGAAGTCCTCACTAGTCTGAGACAAAGAAAAGAACTTACTTGAGAGATATTCCTCACCCAAATTCACAATTGCTTGTTTAAAAGTCAGTAACTTGGGGTGCAAGTTATCTATTTTTTTTAGCAGTCTGCTAGGGTTTTGAACTACTAGCAGTGGCACGCTCACGCAAAAAAGAAAGTTGACTTGTTGACCACCAATGGTTGTCAAGCCAATGGTGAACTTTACCCTACCATCACAGGATTAAAATAAAAACAGGTGAACAAGTTGATATAAGCCACAAGGATAAGTTGATAGTGTTTTACAACGAGTGCTGTTATTTCTACTCCCTTATCCTATTTTCCCAGTAACTATATCTTCAAAATTTTAAAGACGAATTTACCACTTTGTAAAAGGACTTATAGAGTGTTTTAGGAATAACGGTGTATGACTTAAAAAAAATCCATGTCAGCTGATTCCCAGCAACCACTTCCCTCAACTTGTGGAGAAATTATACAATAGTATAGTACTACCACGTGGCAGTGCTAGGTGGTAGTACGCACCAATTGCATAGCAACATGTGGCATGGTTGTCTTTTAAGAGAGAGAATGTTAACATCAAGATTTAATGATAACATCGTTAGTAACCAACTCTTTTTTTTTTGTTTTGTATTTTTTTTTTAAGAAATAAAAAAGAAACCCTAAGACATAATTACTTTTATCGAAATTTGCACCACTGTTCTAAAAAGAAGGAAGACTTTTGTAGCCTTTTTCTTTTTGGTCAAGGTTGCACCTATACGAAAATTATGTGGTGCCGGTACAGCCGACTATCCAAGGGCTGAGTTTCCATGTTAAAAATGGATGGCTGAGATTCAATGACTTAGTAACCTATTGAGCCCTTCGTTATTCAACATGTGAGTCGCATGTGACTCTGAGAAATCAAAAATCCTAAAAGCCTATCCAATCCTTAGCGCCTCCAGGAACTCTTCTCTCTGCTTGCCCAAATCCAATCCTTAGCGCCTCCAGTAACTCTTCTTTCTGCTTGTCCACTCGCTCTGCTTGCCAGTGAACTCTTCTCCCTGCTTTGCCAGGAACTCTTCTCTCTCACTTGCCCAAATCCATCCTAAGCGCGTCCAACTCTTGTCTGTGCTTGGCTAAAACGCATCTGCAAGAAGCTAATGCTCACCGAATTGAGGTCGTCCACGAGAAAACCTAAGCCGACACTGGCAACTCTGCCTAAGAAAGTTTCTTAACTCTTCTCTTTGCTTGCCCAAAACTCATCTGCATATACCAAATTGATGGTGGGTCCAACCTCCATGATGTAATGGTCACCAAATTGGAGGTATTTAATTTAGTTTGTTATGTTGGCATTGTCTGATACAGAATTTCAATTTCGTACATTGAGGGTGTCACCGACTTGATATTAGATCGTCCATTTCTTTATGTGTTTAGGAGCTTTGAAGCCCATTCCAGCGGTTACTACATTCAATCGATATACGAGGTGGGTGGGCGAAGAGTTTGACCGTTGACGACATCAGCGGAATGGATTTGTAATAACAACATGGTTGTAAAGATTTCGAAGATCCCTGGCTGTTAACGACGACATTTGAGTTGGTGGCAAAAGGAAGTGTAAGGAGAAGGCGTGGAAAGTATGGAAACATCAAGTAAAAGTTCAAAGAACCCACTTTTCTGGTTTAGGAGTTGAATGTATTTTGGGTAATGAGTTGATGCAATTGCATGTTTTTGTTTGCGAAACAGTTATACGCGGGGCAATTATTGACCTGACTATGTGCAATTGCATGAGATTATTCATTTGTGTTTTTTTGAAGAGAAGGTATGTTAGCACATAGATTATAATGTAATTTCAGTTTGAATTTATGTTTCTCAGGCATGTAAGGGTCTGGTAAGATGGACAGGGGTGTAGAGACATCAAAGGGTGGTTGTAGTGATTCAGGGTATCTGGGTGGTTGTGAAAGGTTGAGTCACAGGGCACTGGCAATAGAGAGTGGGCATATGTCGGTCGAACATCTGGTATGTCAAAGTAGTGATGATAATGTTAGCGACATTATTGCACTGAGGAAAGAAGATGTTATGGG